CCATGTTCTCGAGAGGCCAGACTTGCCCGTCTCGAGAAGCCAGACTTACCCCCTACCGCCCTCTCTCTCCCCCTCCTCCTCATCTCGAATACCATGTTCTCGAGAGGCCAGACTTGCCCGTCTCGAGAAGCCAGACTTACCCCCTACCGCCCTCTCTCTCCCCCTCCTCCTCATCTCGAATACCATGTTCTCGAGAGGCCAGACTTGACCTGCCCCCCTCCCCACTCCTTTCCCCTCGTCTCGAGAAGCCAGACTTACCCCCTACCGCCCTCTCTCCCCCCTCCTCCTCATCTCGAATACCATGTTCTCGAGAGGCCAGACTTGCCCGTCTCGAGAAGCCAGACTTACCCCCTACCGCCCTCTCTCTCCCCCTCCTCCTCATCTCGAATACCATGTTCTCGAGAGGCCAGACTTGCCCGTCTCGAGAAGCCAGACTTACCCCCTACCGCCCTCTCTCTCCCCCTCCTCCTCATCTCGAATACCATGTTCTCGAGAGGCCAGACTTGCCCGTCTCGAGAAGCCAGACTTACCCCCTACCGCCCTCTCTCTCCCCCTCCTCCTCATCTCGAATACCATGTTCTCGAGAGGCCAGACTTGCCCGTCTCGAGAAGCCAGACTTACCCCCTACCGCCCTCTCTCTCCCCCTCCTCCTCATCTCGAATACCATGTTCTCGAGAGGCCAGACTTGCCCGTCTCGAGAAGCCAGACTTACCCCCTACCGCCCTCTCTCTCCCCCTCCTCCTCATCTCGAATACCATGTTCTCGAGAGGCCAGACTTGCCCGTCTCGAGAAGCCAGACTTACCCCCTACCGCCCTCTCTCTCCCCCTCCTCCTCATCTCGAATACCATGTTCTCGAGAGGCCAGACTTGCCCGTCTCGAGAAGCCAGACTTACCCCCTACCGCCCTCTCTCTCCCCCTCCTCCTCATCTCGAATACCATGTTCTCGAGAGGCCAGACTTGCCCGTCTCGAGAAGCCAGACTTACCCCCTACCGCCCTCTCTCTCCCCCTCCTCCTCATCTCGAATACCATGTTCTCGAGAGGCCAGACTTGCCCGTCTCGAGAAGCCAGACTTACCCCCTACCGCCCTCTCTCTCCCCCTCCTCCTCATCTCGAATACCATGTTCTCGAGAGGCCAGACTTGCCCGTCTCGAGAAGCCAGACTTACCCCCTACCGCCCTCTCTCTCCCCCTCCTCCTCATCTCGAATACCATGTTCTCGAGAGGCCAGACTTGCCCGTCTCGAGAAGCCAGACTTACCCCCTACCGCCCTCTCTCCCCCCTCCTCCTCATCTCGAATACCATGTTCTCGAGAGGCCAGACTTGCCCGTCTCGAGAAGCCAAGTCTGACCTCTCCCCTGCCTCTTGCCCTTCCCTCTCGTCTCGCAATGCCCTCGAGCCGCGCGTCTCAATACAATGAATGACCAGCAGATGCAAATGAAAGGAAAAGTCAGGGGAGTGCTGCTGTCTGCCCCGTCCGCGGCCCTTACTTTCGCTGCTTACCTGAGACCTGTGTGCTTAGGGTGCTCGTCATTGCAGCCAAATTAAGGAGCGGATCATTTTGGACGCTGTGGATTTTGGTGTGTGTGTATTTTTTTTTTTTTTTTAGATTTTTGACTTTCTGAGTGTATTTCGTGTTTTTTTTTGGATTAGGTGGGTGTTTTGCGGATATTATTGGATTTTGTATGAGGGTTTTCTTTTTTTGTGTGGATATTTTGTGAAAGTTCTTGGATTTTTGTGGATATTCATGGCATTTGCGTGTGGATATTCTTGCTTTTAGGGATTATTCTTGAGAAAGATTGTCACAAAATACCCATGCAACATTACAAAGAGCGCAGATTAAGAAAATAACTCAATAAATCAACATATTGCAAAATGTAATATCCGATAATCATACTTTATCCGAGTTAATTTCTACTCCACAATATCATACATACACGTCATTTTCTCCCGTTCTTCCTGCGTTCTCTATACCTTTTATTCATTTTCTCCGCCGATAAAAAAAGAACAAAGAACGCAGATTCTCTTTCGTTACACATCCCATCGCATTCGTCATCCTCCCCCTGTTCTCTTCCCTTCAATTGCACAGCCTTCCCCCTTCTCTGCACAACCCTGTGGCGGAGAATCGATGGGGAATTATTCGGATGGGGGGAGAATGAGAGGGGGAGGGAGGGTGGAAGAGGAGGAGTAGGTAGGTAGGGAGGGAGGGAGGGAAAGGTAGGTAGGAAGGGAATAAAGATAGATAGTGAATGAGAGAGAGAGAGAGAGAGAGAGAGAGAAAGGAAGAAAGAAAGAGAAAGAGAGAGGGAAGGAGGAAGGGAAGGAAATAGAGAAAGATTAGAAAAACAAACAGAAAAAGAAAGAAAGAAATTAAGGAGGAGGCACATCGCCGAATAGGGAGCGTTGATGTAAAGAGGGGGCAGTCCCATCCCCCTACAACCCACCCCACCTCCTTTCCCTCACCCCTACCCAGCCCCGCCCTTTTCGAATCACGCGTCCAGCATCGTAGGATAATGAAGGGATGCGCTAATCACCTGACCCACGGCTGCCCCTAATCAGAATCCCTAATCACAGCCACATTTGCATTCTCCCGGACCGCGAGAAGGGGCGATTGGGCCTGGCGTAGAAGGGAAAAGGAATGTTAAAAATAGACATTGAAGTAGATCGAAGTGAAACGTTTCGGTCATTGCAAGGAGAGAATAGGTTGCATAAATTCAAGAAAGCAGCAGAGTTTGGAGAGATTAATTGTTTATGTAAGAGGGAAGAAGGAAAATAAGGTTGAATAGCGAATGTAATCAATAGTAGAGGGAAAGCTGGTAAAGTCAAGAATATGATGAATAACATGAAGAAATAGATAAATAATAATATAAAGATAATACAAAAAACTAATATAAATAAAACAGCAAATAAATAAACAAATCAAATAAAAAATAATAAAACATTAATTAGACAAACAGAAAAAATATAATAACAATGAAACAGACACAACTGAGGATACAGCATGTGAATAGAAAAGAGCCAAGAGACGGATGATCGGTGGGTGAAAGGTGGTTGTGTGTTGGATGAGTGAAAGTGGAGTGGCGGAGTAGCGGAGAAGGTGAGAAAGAAGGAGTGAAAGGGGGAGTGCAAAAAGTAGATAAAGTAGAAGTAGAGGAGCGAGGAGTCAATCATGTATAAAAATATATAATCCACGGAGGACACCTATACATAAACACAACGACCCGGTGGAATTATCCTTTAACCCCGCTCGCTCTAAATTACCTCCATTAATAAAAAAGACAACAACAAATGTCTTTCGTATTTTGCTCCCATTCATTTCAAGTCGGCCTACAAAATCATCTGTCTGCAGTGACGGTCGGCCTCAACACGAAACGAGTTCTGAGAAAGGGGAGTGGAAAAAAACTGGTCCTGAGAGAGAGAGAGAGAGAGAGAGAGAGAGAGAGAGAGAGAGAGAGAGAGAGAGAGAGAGGGAGAGGGAGAGAGAGAGAGAGAGAGAGAGAGAAGGAGAGAGAGAGAGAGAGAGAAACAAAGACAAAGACAGAGAAGAGAGAGAGAGAGATGAGAGATAGAAAAAGACAGAGAGAAGAGAAGAGAGAGAGAGAAAGAAAGAGAAAGAAATAAAGAGAGAGAGAGAGAGAGAGAGAGATAAGAGAGAGAGAGGCAGATAAAAGAGAGAGAGAGCGGTCAAAATATTTAGAACAAACCGAGCCTTCTCTAACACGGCGCTCTCTAAGTGAAAAGATTGAACGGATTAAAGCTGCCTGGAAATGTTGACGTTTGTTCCGTTTTCTTTCGGATTTGCGTTTTCCGAGTGAGGCGGGAGAGAAGAAGAAAGGGAAGCGAAGAGGGAAAAGAGAGAGAGAGAGAGAGAGAGAGAGAGAGAGAGAGAGAGAGAGAGAGAGGGAGGGAGGGAGCAAGGGGAGGGGAAGGGAGAGGCAGAGTGGAGGGAGGGAGGGAGGGAGGGAGGGAGGGAGGGAGGGAGGAGAGAGAGAGAGAGAGAGAGAGAGAGAGAGAGAGAGAGAGAGAGAGAGAGAGAGAGAGAGAGAGAGAGAGAGAGAGAGAGGGAGAGAAGGAAGTGAAGGAAATAAGAAAGAGAACGAAATACAATATTAATAAATGTAACCCACTTCCATTACTGCCCATCAGAACTTTCTATACCAAATAAACAATAAAGTCCCAGAAATTCCTTTTGCCAGTGTAGGCCTAACTACCTCTAATTACGCGTCGTAATAGACCTACATCCCCCCCCCCAAAAAAAAAAGAGATACCGGTTCATCATCAAGTATTCAAAGGTGTGTGTGAGAAAGTTTTCGAACGACTCGATAACGTATTAAGCTGTGTCTGATATTATCGTGTTTAAGGTATTTATGTGTTAATTGCAGTATAAGGTGAAAAATGGAGTTATATCCGTTTTATATTTCTTGATATTTTGAGTCAGTCTCTCTCTCCCTCTCTCTCTCTCTCTCTCCCCCCCCCCTCTCTCTCTCTCTGCTTCATCTTTGTGCCTGGTAGTTTCTTTCTCTTGTTTACCTTTTTTCTCTCTTTCTTTATCCCAGACTCCGTTTCTTTTGGTCATTCATTGATTCATTCAGTCACTTTTCCCGATTTTTCTCTTCCCCTCCGTTTTTTCTTTGTTTGCACCCCCTTCTCTCTCTCCACTTTTCTCTTCACCCACTCCCTCTTCCCCTTCTTTCTTCCTTCCACTCAGTTTGTCTGCCTCTAACTACATAGACGATGTAGAGCGCCATGAATTCTTCCCAAATCCCGTGTCCTTACTCCCTCCCTTTCCAAATATCTCTCCCCTTCCCTCTCTTCCCCGATTTTCTCTCTCAGTATCTCCCTTCCCCCTTTTCTCTTCCCTCCACCCTCCCAGTCAATTCTCTCCCTCTATCATTCTCTCGCCTCTCCCTCTCCCCCTCACCCTGTCTGCCCTTACCCAGGCGATGCAGAGCGCCGTGTATTCCTCCCAAGACCCTGCCCTAACCCCTCCCTCCCTTCCTCCCCCAGCTGGCTGCTGGACAGCTGGCTCTGACCAACGACGTGGAGCTGGTGCCGGCCATGGCCAACATGCCGCAGATCACCAGCCTCGACGTCCAGTGCGAGAAATCCGGAATGACGGTGAACGTGGCCTTCTCGCAGCCCTTCGACGGTGTCATCTTCAGCAAGGGCCACTTCTCCAACCCCGCCTGTCGGTGAGTACCTCGAGGTCTTCGGTACCGCCGGCCGGATTCTCATCTTTTTCCTTTTCTTTTTCTTTTTTTTCAGGATGTTTAGATTTGTTTTGTTTGAGACTTTTGAGTCGCAAAATGTAAGTGATTTAAAATGATTTAAAACTATTAAACTATTAAAAAATTTTCAGTACTGATTAAATCATGATAAAGTTACTCAAGTAATCAAAGTAATTTTTTCTTAAAAAATATAAAACTTCAACCATTAGAGTTCTTAAAACACTAGTAGTTTGTAGACCCTAAAATGTATAAAAATTAAACCTGATAAACTATAATGTACTTCCTCTGTACTGAGACTCTCTTCCCGAGGCACTGGTTCACCTGTACAAACACTCCACTTACCTGACCCCCTGACACTTGGAAGACATACCATCGCCACCATACGTCATCAGTCGCCTCCGATATATACCCTCACACTTCCAAGGCAGAATTAAAAAATCGCCTTCGGAAAACCAAATCCAGTTACAGAACAAACAGAGCCAACGCGAGATCAAACACGTTGAGAATACTAATAATATTGACAACAGAGTATTTTCACCAACATTGTCTACATGGTTAAAGAACAGAGCGCCAGTAATGTTTTCAACTGCGCAACTGCTGAACAGAACAGACTAATACCAGTGCCTCGTTCTATCCCTCTCTACTGTATTTCTTTGATATTTTATTTCCTATTATTAATAAGATATAACAACTGTATATAGTCCCTAACAGATTAAAATCCTTAAAATGTACGTATAAAGTACAGCCTTAAGATGGTAAGGTGAAGGCAATGCTTAACATCAACCATCTTGTAGTTAGTCAAGTAGATATTTACTAATCTAATGCTAATTCTAGTGAGCAACTAACTTCTGACAATCGACTCTGACAACTTCCAATTGGAATTAGTGGAAAGATGAACAAAATTTCATATATACATATATATATATATATATATATATATATATATATATATATATATATATATATAGTTCATCAAATAAATCAATAAACATCATGGAATCCAAAATTCACTGGCCGAGATGTTTCACTGCCAGTCATACTGACGTTCTTGGAGGACCTGCGTATTGAGAGGACCTTCACCTGCCCTGTATACGCTGGTCCTCCAAGATCACGACATTTAACGTAGTGCTAGTGCTAAAGCGAATAGTGGTGGTAGTGCTACAATGCATTTTAGTTGTTCGTGATTAGAGTATGGCTTCATTGCTAGAATGTATATTCATTTGGCTTATGTTGGTTTCAAGCACCTTATGCTATAGTATAACCTGTAATGCTTAGTTATAGCTTCCCACGCTTTTTTAACTGTCACACTAGCTTATGAATGTTGTCTATACCATTTTCAAAGGAATGAGAAGATATAGCCATGCATTTTACCCAGTTAATAAAGTTAATAGAGTATATATATTTCATTCACTAACTGAATTTATATATTTTATACATAGACAAAATGGTGCATTTATTGGAAGACAAATGCTCGTAATTCATCTTGTAAATATCTGAAATTATTGTGGTTATGGTACATTTATAAACATTTGATCCATTAAAGTGAAATGCTCACCATAATATAGGCCTCATTTCAAAAAACTTATGGATCATGTATGTATAAATCAGGTAATATGTGATGTGTGTGTACATATATGTGTATATATATGTGTATATATATAAATATACACATGTATGTGTATATGTATATATATATATATATATATATATATATATATATATATATGTGTGTGTGTGTGTGTGTGTGTGTGTGTGTGTGTGTGTGTGTGTGTGTGTATAAATATACACATTTATGTATATATATATATATGTGTATATGTATGTATGTATGTACACACACATACATACATATATGAATATGTATATATATGTATGTGTGTGTGTATGTGTCGCATAAAGTAAATGAATAAATATATAAATAAATAAAGAGTTGTAGACTATACTTATATACATATATAGATACGTACATACATACATACATATACATGTATATACACACACGAGTGTGTGCGCACATACGCACACACATGCATACATATATTCATATATATACATATATGTGTATATACGTATGTATATAAACATGTATACCTGTATGTGTATATATATATATTATACATACATATATGCATACACACAATATATATATATATGTATATATATATGTATATATGTATGTATGTATACACATACACATAAGCGTGTGCGTTTATATATATACATATATATATATATATACATATATATATATATATATATATATATATATATATATATATATATATATATATATATATATATATATTATATATATATATATATATATATATATATATATATATATATATATATATATATATATATATATATATATATAAACAACCTCGTTTGTATGTACATACAGTATATATTTGTAAACATTTGTCTGCGTCAGTGTGATTATGAGTGTGCGATTAAATAGTGTTTGTACAGATAATTATATTATGCTGAAAATCTGTGAATCAATACACTTTAGACAGTTATATGTAAATTATGTATACCACAGTACATAAGCTAGGTAAATATAGTCAAAAAATGATAATTGTCATTCTGTAGACTAGGCATTAGGTAGTTTTAACTAATATAAGTTACCACTAACTGTAAAACTAATCACGATGTAAAATAAATTTATTAACCAAAATACCTAAACAATGTAAATACCAGAAATATACCAGTTAACCTCTCCTAAGTGTATATTTGGTCCTTAACCCAACCCGTCCCATCCTACACAACCTCACGTCCCTCTTCTGAAGACTTTCGACACTTGCACAAATCTCTTTCGAGAATGCTCTATGTCTCTCTCTCTACCCGGACATTTTCGTGAAAGCGTAGTTGAGATATAATTGTAAAATTTGTATGGAAAGAATGTCAGACTATGTTACCTTATGATATTGATGTTTTCGTTCACTTACTGAGGCTATTTCTATACGTTCAGTATTTAAGACATGATTTGAAGGAAGAAATATATGTTAGATATTGTGCTTCTAATTTTTTATTTATCAAATCCTTTTAATATAACCTTAATTCATATTGTTTTAATATTTTAGTCCATAAATGACAGTATTTTAAAGGTTTCCCTGTCAGTATCTCGTAATATAAACTATCTCAAATGAACGTGCTGTTACCATAGTTTATCCTTGCCTAATCAAAATATTCCAAAGTAAATCATAGTAGCATATTTTCTAGTTCCATACTTATCATTTCACACGAATATGCATCAATCTTAAACGAAACACACGCAACACAATCACTCATGTGACCGAGGTGCTTCATTCGCGAGTAGAAGACCGGTCACACGCATTGTATACCACATTTATGGTATATAGTGCTTCCAATACCCTACAGTATAATATACTAACCATATCTATACACATACTCTTTGTGCAGTGCTGTTTACCAATTGTTTCTTGTCACAATTAGTTCTGAATTGATTGTTTTGAGTTCTAATATCTGATAATTTACATGGAGATGTAGTTTGCACATTAGAGTAATTTAATGTTTCCATGCGCCTGCACTTAGAGTCTGTGTACATGACAAGAGTTTAGAGATGTTGCTCTCTGTCTGTCTTCCTTCGACTTTTGTAGTTTGTTTACTTGTTAAACTCCTCTTACTCATCTCTTTAAACGTTGAACAAGTAACCTGAGAGACTATAAACCGTAATAAGCTGTAAATTAGAACAACATAAACCCCTAAAGTAGACCTAAGCTTTCGTAAACCAACCTAAACCGTTAAAACATAAAATGCTTAAAGCATTAAATAATATTCCCTAAATGTTTCTGTCCTGAACCACGGTGTTTTTTAAACGTTGGTCGTATTGTGACCACTCACAGCCAAAAGAAACTTGGAAAAAAATTGTGGGATTCGATCCACTGAGACGGAATTAGTCTCTCACAGTTACTTGGTCGATGCCTGAAAACTTCCGAGATCGTTAACCACGGGTATTTAGCTCTGTCGTTGGCCTCCGAAACCCTAATTGTACTACTAATGAACGCAATGAGAAAAGAATCTCTTGATGCACCTGTCCATTCTCTTACATGAAATTACTTTCTTTATCAACCCTTTCCCGTGACTTTTTTCTGTTCTATCAAGTCTATATAATTATTAGCCCTTGATTTCCCTGTCCCTTTGGCTTCGGCCTATATTTTCCATTCATGACATGACGTGACTGGTCCGTGTCAGGTATGTGGCGGCCAACTCGGGACGTTCCAGTTTCACACTCACCATCCCAAGTGGTGAGTGTGGCACAGCTACGTCTGATATCACCAACAACGGTCCAAGCGGGAAGAGCCGTGAATCCAGTACCCGCATGACCAACACCATCATCGTACAAAATGATCCCACAGTGCAAGAAGTTTGGGACGTCGCCCGCACAATCAAGTGTGACTGGGTTGACAATCTCGTTAAGACTGTGGCCTTCAATCCCTTTGCTGTCGGAATGTTAGATGCTCAAGAGGTCCGCTTCAAAGGAGGTCAACCTATTGAGTGCTGGATGGACTTGAAACAAGGACGTTGGCCATTGACATCCGACATTGACTCCATCGTTAAGATCGGCGAGACACTTTCCCTGATGGTGTATGCACGTGACAACAAAGGCATGTACGATGTGAGCGTCAAGGACTGCTATGCTTATGGAGGCCCAAATTATGACGATGTAAACACTCCTCGAATCCAGCTGACAGACGAACAAGGCTGTGTTCTAAAAGACAAACTAATCAGCCCTTTCTACAGCACCCGGCAGCGAGACGAGAGGGGAGAAATTATTGTCACCTATGCTTTTGTACAGGCTTTCAAGTTCCCTGATGTTATGGATGTATTCATGTCGTGTAATGTAGAAATATGCAAGGGAGATTGTGACAGCATTTGTGGTTCTCTTGTTAAAGGTCCATCATCCCCTGGTACTACCACTGAAGGTCCATTTCGCACTGGCAGCACACTATTTGGCGAACCTATCACTACTCCAGGGCCTACTACTGTCCCCTCATGCTTTCCTGGCTCTACTGATCCAAGATGCTATTCATCACCACCCACTGTCCCTAGTATTTCTGTTTGTGGGCCTGGTTCCACTGATCCTGCTTGCCAGTTTACCTCCCCTGAACAGGAACTTTGTGGCTTTGGAAGCAAAGATCCTAGATGTATCTTCCCAACAACATCCTCTCCTAATAGGGGTAAAGCAATTAACTCTAGTCCTCCTCCCAAACAAACACTGACAACTGCTTTCAAACTCCCCACACCTACTATTCCACAATTCCAATGTGTCCCGGGTTCAACTGATCCTCGATGTGTACAACCCACATCTCCTTCACCCCCACGGTGTTTTGCTGGTTCAACTGATCCACGGTGCCCTAAACCAACTACCACTGCTCCTCCACTATGCTTTGTTGGGTCTACTGATCCTCGGTGCCCCAAACCTACTACCCCTGCTCCACCACTGTGCTTTGTTGGTTCAACTGATCCACGATGCCCAAAGCCCACCACCCCTGCTCCTCCGCGATGTTTTGCAGGTTCAACTGACCCGCGTTGCCCTCAGCCCACTACTCCTGCACCACCCAAATGTTTTGCTGGTTCAACTGACCCTCGCTGCCCCAAACCCACAACACTAGCCCCTCCAAGATGCTTTGCAGGTTCAACTGACCCTAGGTGCCCAAAACCTACTACCCCAGAACCCCCACAATGTTTTGTTGGTTCAACTGACCCTCGATGCCCACAACCCACAACTGTTGCCCCTCCTAGATGCTTTGCTGGGTCAACAGACCCTCGATGCCCCAAACCTACCATTCCCCCATCCCCACCAAGATGTTTTGTTGGTTCAACTGACCCAAGGTGTCCTCAGCCCACTACCCCTGCACCTCCAGTTTGCCTCCCAGGGTCAACTGATCCTAGATGTCCTCAGGTGACAAGTCCAGCCTCCACTCCTCTCATTTGCCTCCCAGGATCATCTGACCCAAGATGTTCTAGGCCCTCAACAACACCAGCCCCACCCCGTTGTTTCCCAGGTTCTAAAAATCCTGGATGCCCTAAACCTTCAACTACCCCTGCCCCACCCAGCTGTTTCCCTGGTTCTACAGATCCAAGTTGCCCTAAGCCCACAACAATTCCAGCTCCACCTCTCTGTTTCCCTGGTTCTGTTGACCTGAGATGCCCTAAACCCACAACACCAGCTCCACCTCGCTGTTTCCCTGGTTCCACTGCTCCAGGATGTCCTAGGCCCACAACTACACCCTCCCCACCCCGCTGTTTCCTTGGATCTACTGACCCAAGATGTCCTAAACCCTCTACTACCCCAGCTCCACCAAAGTGTCTCCCTGGTTCTAATGATCCGAGATGCCCTAAAATTACTACAACCAGACCACCACCTCGGTGTTTCCCTGGTTCCCGTGACCCTAGATGTCCTAAACCCACAACAACTCCAGCTCCACCACAATGTTTCCCTGGATCTACAGATCCACGGTGTCCTAAACTCACCACTACCACCCCTGTCCCATTCCGCTGTCTTCCAGGCTCTGCAGATCCTAGATGCCCACAGCTTACCACACCAGCTGCTTGTTTCCCTGGAAGCTTTGACCCTAGATGTCAAAAGGGTACTACCCCAGCCAAACCAATTTGCTTTGCTGGATCACCAGACCCTCGTTGTTCTAAGAGTTTGCCCACTGCAGCAACAACCCCTAAACCTACTCAGCGGCCAACGATCCGGCCTACTACTTTCCGTCCTTCACTGAGGCCAACCTTCAGGCCTCGCCCAACCCCTACTCCACAACCCACAACTCTACAGCCAGAACCCCCACGCAGGGATTCTGTGCTCTTCCCTGCAACAATCACTACTCCTCGGCCTACCACCACTACGTCTTTCTCTAGAGTAAAAGCTCCCGCAGTCACTACCCCAAGGCCAAAACCTTCAGGTCCTGCTCTTAAGCCAACTACACCCTCTAGTCGAGGCAAGCCCAACAGAGGTAAACAGTTGTCATCAGCTCCTCAGCCTAAGCCAGAACCTACAGGAAAGGAATGGGAAGGGGAGTCTCGTTTCCATGCCTTCCACAGTTTCCACTTCCAAAAGGGTGATGGAAGGCGGGGCAGAAGGTTTGGTGCTCGACTATCTAGAGATGCCGATGAGGAAGTTCCTCTATCTCGGAGCATTCGATCTCCTGGTGAACCACTCCCAGGAAAGCGCCCACTTTTGGAAAAGGTTCCTGTCAGGTTGTCTCGATCTTTATCAGTTATTTCTGCCACCGACTTGCCAGAACCCAGGAAATCTTTTTTCAGGGTTCAGTCAGAGGAAGAGACAGCACAGGCATTTAGCGAACCAGTATATTCTGATCCTCTAGGCACAGTATGCCTTCCTGTAGCCATTTTCACAGCTTCCATCCTCTCCCTTTTGTTTCTTCTCCTGCTGTCATCTACAGTGGCTCTGGTGTTGTATATTCGGCAGCGAGACAGCCACAAAAAACATATGGCTGCCTGGCTAGGGCACTAGTCTTCCTCTCAACCCCACCTGCATCTGCTGCCTCCATTTCTATATTTTTTAATTGTATCTTACTTGTGCAACTTAATTTAGTCTTGTGTAGACTACAGTCACATAGAAAAAAAAATATTTCTAGATTGAGAAACAAATCATTTTTAGAATTTGACTAGTCCAAATATTATGTAAGATATTGGTGTGAATTAGTGTAGTACATAGTCTACTTTAGAGGTACATTGTCAGTAGCTTCTTGTTGATGGTTGCATCATAATTCGTATCAAGGTTTTTAGCATACCCTGGTGGTATATCCTTGAGCAAGTACCCTTTGTTTAGGTACACTGTGGGGTAGATGCTGGTGTCACGCCTTATAGTAGATGTGTGCCGAAGATAAGAAATATATTTTTTGTTGTCACATTCTTCCTTGCCTGTCCTGTTTGCTTTATCTTAATATTGCCTTTTTAAAATGACAATGCATATTTCATATATCAGTCATTCTGTATAAGATTATATTATGTTATTTGTCTGTTTGTATGACTGTTGGTGAAACTCTCGCCTCCCCTCATGAGGACCATGACGGACGCTCGACTAATACGGTGACGTTCCTTATAACTCTTTCTTTTCATATTGAACTTGTAAAGCAGGTAAGTAACTGTAGTCTTTTAGTAATCAAAATTTTATGAAATAAAATCTCAGTTATTAGATTTAACAGGAATTTGAGACATAAACAAGAAACGGAGCAAAGGACACCCTTGACACTTTTTCCCTGTATGCAGCTACGTCCGCGCCAACTCTGGCAGAACCTCGTACTCCTTCGTCATTCCCATGGTTGGTTGCGGCACCAGGACCTTTGATAACGATGACGACGGCAGCACCGGCTTCGAAAATATGATTATGATTCAAAATGAAGAAATTGTCCAAGAAGTTTGGGATACCGCCCGGAAGATCACTTGTGACTGGACAACCCGCATGGAAAAACTTATTACTTTCCGACCTTTTGCTGTAGATATGCTACAGGCAAAAGAGGTCCGTTATTCAGGAGACGATGTCATGTGTTGGATGGATATACAACTTGGCAAAGGCCCCTTTTCAAACACAGTAGACGGCATTGTTAAAATTGGTGATGAGCTTACTGTTGTGATTTACTCTAAGGATGGTGGTTCAGAATTTGACATGTTGGTGAAGAACTGCTTTGCCTATGATTCAGATGATTTGGAAGATGAAAGAACAACCCGCCTCCAACTATCAGATGAACGTGGCTGCCTCCTAAAGCCCAAATTGATGAGTTACTTTTCCCGCACTCGGCAGACTGGTACCACCGGTGCAGACATCATTGCTTTTGCTTCGCTCTTTGCCTTCAAGTTTCCAGATAAAATGGATGTTTACTTATCTTGTGAAGTTGAATTGTGTAAAGGTGGGTGTACCAACGTGTGTGAAGATCCTGTCTTCCCAACAAACCTGATATCTCGGTTTGTTTCCTCATCAACAACCACAACCACACAGCGTCCTACAACATCAACTACACCTCGACCTGATCCCTGTGCCTTGAATCCAAGGTCATCCCAGTGCTGTGCCCTACGTCCAAATTCCATATTTTGCACAACTACCACACAGCGTCCTACAACATCAACTACACCTCGACCTGATCCCTGTGCCTTGAATCCAAGGTCATCCCAGTGCTGTGCCCTACGTCCAAATTCCATATTTTGCACAACTACCACACAGCGTCCTACAACTTCAACTACACCTCGACCTGATCCCTGTGCCTTGAATCCAAGGTCATCCCAGTGCTGTGCCCTACGTCCAAATTCCATATTTTGCACAACTACCACACAGCGTCCTACAACATCAACTACACCTCGACCTGATCCCTGTGCCTTGAATCCAAGGTCATCCCAGTGCTGTGCCCTACGTCCAAATTCCATATTTTGCACAACTACCACACAGCGTCCTACAACTTCAACTACACCTCGACCTGATCCCTGTGCCTTGAATCCAAGGTCATCCCAGTGCTGTGCCCTACGTCCAAATTCCATATTTTGCACAACTACCACACAGCGTCCTACAACATCAACTACACCTCGACCTGATCCCTGTGCCTTGAATCCAAGGTCATCCCAGTGCTGTGCCCTACGTCCAAATTCCATATTTTGCACAACTACCACACAGCGTCCTACAACTTCAACTACACCTCGACCTGATCCCTGTGCCTTGAATCCAAGGTCATCCCAGTGCTGTGCCCTACGTCCAAATTCCATATTTTGCACAACTACCACACAGCGTCCTACAACTTCAACTACACCTCGACCTGATCCCTGTGCCTTGAATCCAAGGTCATCCCAGTGCTGTGCCCTACGTCCAAATTCCATATTTTGCACAACTACCACACAGCGTCCTACAACTTCAACTACACCTCGACCTGATCCCTGTGCCTTGAATCCAAGGTCATCCCAGTGCTGTGCCCTACGTCCAAATTCCATATTTTGCACAACTACCACACAGCGTCCTACAACTTCAACTACACCTCGACCTGATCCCTGTGCCTTGAATCCAAGGTCATCCCAGTGCTGTGCCCTACGTCCAAATTCCATATTTTGCACAACTACCACACAGCGTCCTACAACTTCAACTACACCTCGACCTGATCCCTGTGCCTTGAATCCAAGGTCATCCCAGTGCTGTGCCCTACGTCCAAATTCCATATTTTGCACAACTACCACACAGCGTCCTACAACTTCAACTACACCTCGACCTGATCCCTGTGCCTTGAATCCAAGGTCATCCCAGTGCTGTGCCCTACGTCCAAATTCCATATTTTGCACAACTACCACACAACGTCCTACAACATCAACTACACCTCGACCTGATCCATGTGACGTTAATCCAAGGTCATCCCAGTGCTGTGCCCTACGTCCAAATTCCATATTTTGCACAACTACCACACAACGTCCTACAACATCAACTACACCTCGACCTGATCCATGTGACGTTAATCCAAGGTCATTCCAGTGTTGTGCTAGGCGTCCAAATTCACCTTTGTGCAGGACTCCAAGTACCACAACTCCTCGTCCTGATCCTTGTGTTATAAACCCTAGATCTCCACAGTGCTGTGCTAGACGACCTAACTCAGTGTTCTGCACTACCACCACCACACCACCACCAGATCCCTGTGATTTGAACCCTAGTCTACCACAGTGCTGTGCCAGAAACCCTAATCTACCTCAGTGTACTACCACTACAACTACCACAACCACTAAACGCCCTACAACACCGTTTGATCCTTGTGCATTTAATCCTAACCACCCACGATGTGTAACAAGAGCTCCATGTTCTGGCCCCCGTGACCCTCGCCCCGAGTGCCGGCCCACCACGGAGGTTCCCCACACAACACCCAATCTGGAAAATCATGCCTTCCATGCTTGGCAGAACCGGCCCTCTGGCACTCGTCGTCGCCGTCCTCCTTATGGCACTCGTCTCACCCCAGGTGTCCTAGCAGAGCTGTCAAACCAACCCAGACGACGTCGTGATGTGGCTCTCCCACCCCCTCCTCCACCACCCAGGAATACAATTGCCATGGTCCGAGGTTTTCGGGTAGTTGGTGCAAACGACCTCACATTCAAAGCTGTTTCCTCACCAAACCAGTCTGCAAGCAATGTTGATAGTATATGTATGCCAACTGCAACCTTCACTGTTAGTCTGCTGATGCTGTCGCTGTTGCTGATTACATCTGTTCTTGTGGCCACATTCACATGCTTGCGTCTCAGGACGATGGCTCCTTTAAAAGCAGTAGAAGCTAAGAATCCATACTACAAACAGTAACTGGCCTGGTCTCTTCTACTTGCTCTGATTCCCTGCTGCTGGATTTAGCTGGGTACGAGTAATCCACCCTTTCCTGCTGGGCTGCTGCTGGCACTGACCTGGTGGGTTGGGTAGTCCCTCTCCCCTGGTGCCCTGTGCTGGTCACAGGACTCCGTGAAGTGCCATCATCCATTCGACCATCGCCAAGTTACGAATGCTGTCCCAAGTCACTGATTTATAAATATTTGTGATAATCACTTGTTACTTTTTACGACACTAGACAGAGATGCCATAGCATCGTAGATTTTTGTAGTTGCATATTTCGACACTTTTCTCTAGACCCTGACAACTTTGCTTTGCCTTTGACTATGGTGTCAGAAGCTCGAGCTGTTCCTGACATCGGTTCATACTATGCTGCCATATAAAAAGGACTTTATTTGCTTTTGTAAATTTTCTGATTAAAATTGATACAGAATATCGTATATTAATGTATTCCTCATAAAATGTTCTATATGAACTACGCATACAATAATACAGAACAAGAGGCCAGGCTTATCGACCAAGTAATATCACTAGAATAAAAGTATGAATACAAAGAAAAAGAAAATAAATCTGGTAATGGTAAGGACAGAATAACCACCCTATAAATGAATGCACTATATTTTCTCATTATCCTAATACAGGCGGCTCATAGTACTGCGGGCAAAATAGTAAAAGGACTTTATTTTCAGATTTCTGCATGAGAAGCCCATAATACTGCATTGCTATTAGCCGCCATGAAATGAAATCCTATATGTAAACTTTCTGATGCCTAAATATATCCTTTTATACCTATTTAAACATACTCTAAATAAAATCTAATCATAAAATTATAAAAAGGTCAAGAATGAACCATAAAACAAATAAAAGATATAAAATACAATGCTTCTAGTTGTGCTAAGACTAATGATAAACAAATGAAACTGTAAACACATGATGTACTGAATGTTTACTACGTAACCTGATGACGTCATTGCCCCGCATCACCAGTCGCTACGAGAGTCACTAAACGACCCGACGAAAGGTAGGTCAGTTGCAGAGGTCAGTGGATTCATCGATGCAAGAATTCATCTCTCCATTTCCCTCTTCTTCTCCTTAATACGTATCGAATCTTTTGCCCACACTGTACACTGTATGCGCCCGGGGGGGGGAACAGAAATATCATTTGAATTATCATTCACAAATAAACAAACTTTTGTTTGCTCTACACCGTTTTAGCCTTGGAAAAAAAATGAAATGTTATATTTATAACACAAGAAGATTATTTGAATTATTAGACACAGAAAAACAAACTTAGCCTAGGAAAAAGTATATTTTATGTTTATAAATATTTC